CGAAAACCTATTATCGAGTCATGGACCAGATGGTAAGCCTCTTGATTCTCAGCGAGCGCCTGCAGCAGGCTCATCATTGCCTAGCTATCAGCACTCGAACACTTGCATTCGTTCGGAATCGTGCATCGTGATGTCAAGCCTGCGAACATCCTCGCTTGCTTGGACGATCCATCACGCCTGAAACTGATAGACTTTGGCATCGCTAAGCCGTTCCAGCGCAGTGGCTCGCCCACTCAATACGACCCTATCAAGGAGGATAGGATCATTGTCGGCACATTGCATTGGGCCAGCCTGAACTCTCACCGGGGAGTCGGTGAGCAACGTAACGCGGAGATAACTCAATTCGAGGCTGATCAACCTTTCTTCTGTAGACCTCTCTCGGCGAGATGACCTTGAGTCTCTTGCTTACGTCGGCCTTTTCCTGCTTCGTGGAGACTTGCCCTGGCGAGCGGAGCACACCGAGTCAAAGGCGTACTTGTATGAGGGCGAAAAGCATGCAATGATGCGCATACATGCTGCCAAGGAGGCATGCAAAGGCTCGGTGCTCGTACGCGCTGGCTTCCCTGAAATCGGCGGCTTCTTGGACTACAGTCGGTCTCTCGGCTTTTGTGAAACTCCCGACTATCGCACCTGGAGGCAACGATTCGCTACTCTTGCTCAACGGTCTGGTTGTCGATCGTCGAGCGAACCGCTTGACTGGACACCATGCGATGTAGAGCGGATTAAAAGCGTTATGCCTACGGATCGCACACCCCCTCGGCCAGACGACGCAGCGGGTCCTTCGGGGCCCAGGGATCCGGCATACACTAACAGCTACTACGCCATCGATCCTTGGGGTGGTATCGAATATTGGGATGACCGGCAGTATGAACGGGACAATGACCTCACACTGCCCGCGGGGTACGATGCAAAGCGGCTGGATGCGTGCCTTCCCAGCATCGTCATTCACCCTGAACCACGGCCATGAGTGAAGAGCGTTCTTTGAAGTAGGTTTTGCCGCTTGTGACCCTAAATATCTACGTACTTGGATACGCTTAGCGCCTTGCTCAATAGCATCAACCTTGAAAATGGAAGTGAACGTTGTGCAGTGGTTACTTGTCTGTTCTGGGAGCTCTTAAGGATGACTTTGACCTCCGCTATTGTACCTGCTTGGCATTGCTGAAAAGATGCACTCCGATCCATGAGGACAGGTCTGAGCTACCAGAACGAAATCGTGCTCATTCCATACCCACCAAATATTATGGCCGCTCTTGATGGACCCGGTTCAAGTTCTCGCCGCCTAGCCCTGCTATCAAGCGTGCCGTCAAGAATCACAGCCAGCCTAGGGCAGACGCGCGGAAGGGCTTATTGGAGGACTCGTTCGACCCCGCTCCCTTGCCCGTCACGCTCGTGCGGCAAGCCGTCGCTGTGGAGGCCATCAAGGCCGTATTGCATAAGGCGTCGTCGACGTGGAAGCTGCTGTGCAAATTCAAGCCATGAAGGCGACCGTTGGTAAGTTCCCTTCCTTATGGTCATTATCCCGGCAACAGTGAGTACAGATACAGTAGCAGCAAGCAACAATGGATACGCTGCGTGATGAATTGACAGTTGGATCGAGAGATTCATCCTCGTGTTCTGCTCCGCGAACGTTTCCGCAATTTGCTCGACCCGCTAGAAATCGTGCGCGACATGGGCGGTGGCCGGCCGCGCTGGACGCCGCTCGCCGGGCTGTCCGGCGGATTCTGCGCCCCCTCGACGTCGCCCCCGACGACCTGCGACGCGATGCGGACCCTTTTCGGCTCGCGCTCGATGTCCTGCCACACGAGTTCGTCCGCCGACCACGGCGTCTCGACGAACCGGCCCTGGGGCTCGAGCGCGGTCGAGCGCGTGCCGGACCCTCGCGTGCCCTCGGCGTCGGCGGGGACGCGCGTCGTTTCGAGGACCTCGAGCCAGGCGGCGGCGAGGAGGGCGTGCATGCCGCTGTCGTGCACGCAGCGCGCGAGCAGGCTGTCGGCGGCGTGCTGGGCGAGGGAGGGCGAGCCGAGGGCGCGGAGGGTGGAGAGCGCCCAGGCCGCGCCGCGGTTCTCGCGCAGGCCGCGCACGGGGATGTCGAGGATGCGGCGGCGGAGGGTGCCGGGTTGGTGGGGTTGGTTCGAGGCGGGGAGGAGCTCCTCGCGGACCCAGGCGGAGGTGGCGACGGCGCGGAATTTGTCGTGTTTGACGCCGGTGTCGGGGGTGGAGGCGGAGGAGGGGTGAGAGGGGTAGCAGATCGTGCCGGAGGTTTGGTCGTGGCTGTTGGGGATGATGAGGAAGCAGTACCGGTCTTTGTGCGCCGTCCAGGGATAGAGGACGAGGAAGAGCTGGGTGTGCCCCGGCGAGTCGTCGGTTCTGGTGTCTTTCAGCGTTAGACGAGGTAGCGGGGTCGACATGACGGTAGTGCGTCTCGATGGTGGTTTATTTGGTGTCCTTCGACTTGGCTCCTTATGCTAATGATCCGGCGGTAGCGCACAGAGAAATCTAGTGAATGCGAGGGTGAGATGAAGAATCTTTGTTTGAACTATATTGTGAACAGCTCACGGTGCTAAGTTTGAGGAGAGCACGTAGCAATAAGTCATAGTAAAGCCCGGGCAGATGGTGGAAGTTTGGTCGGACGTGGCCCTACAGGTGGCATACAAAGCGTCGACCAAGACCGAGCGACAGACGCTGGCTGATATTCCGCTCCAGAGAGGCTTCAATACAGCAGCGAGCGCTCAATGGCTCGTCAAGGAAAAGACGACGAGGACGGAGAGGACCAGCGGGACGTTGCAGAAGACCGAAAGCACGACTTTGTTTTACGCTCCCAATTAGGCAATAGGCGGGGGGTCCCGCGTTCACGTGATCCGTTCCGAGATCTCTCCGATCGGCCATCTCCGCGCCACCGCGGTTAACCTCGTCGACGATGGGCGCGCTCTGCTAACGACGACCTCAACGATCCCGACGATTTCGCCAGCATCATCTCCGACGTACTGCGTATATCTTTTTCTGCCGATACTGTACAATCGCCGACATACGATATCCGACTAACTCAGTGCTACTCGTATCGATCTCATACCAATGTCCGCCGCACCCAAACGCCACCGCGCGCTCAGCCCGACCGCCAGCGCCCAGCTCTCATCCTCATCCTCGGTCGGTGAACCCGCCTCAAAAGCGACCCGGACGCAACAACCTCCACCCCGGCGCCAGCTGCTCTGCACGCTACCCCCGACGTGCAACCCGCCGCATCACAAGCCGAGCCGGCTCGCGGACAGCGCCGACCTCGAGCGGCACTACGCGACCTACCACGCCCACGTCTGCGAGCAGCGCGGCTGCGGCTGCGTCTTCCCCGACGAACGTCTGCTCGAGCTCGTGAGCCACACACACATTTACACTATCACCCGCGTTACCGTCGTTCTGACGTCCCGCGTGCTGCGACAGCACCAGACAGAATGCCACGATCCCCTGGCCGCAGTGCGCAAAGAACGGGGAGAGAAGATCGTACGCCGCTCTCTCTCTCTTTCCCTCACACACCTCCGAATCGCTAAATCCGACCCACTTGACGCTGACAACCACCGTTGCCCCCTGTCCCCTTCCAGTTCGCCTGCCACCTCGCCACCTGCTCGAAGCTATTCGCGACGCCCAAAGCGCGCCGGCTGCACCTCGTCTCCGCGCACGGCTACCCAAAGCAGTTCTTCTTCGCCGTCACGAACAAGGGCGTCGGCGGCCTGCTCAAGCGCTGGGGCGAGGGCGCGAGCCTCGTCCGGGGAGACTGGAAGCCGCGCGAAGACGGCGATCATACACCCAGGGCGGCGCATCAGGACAACGACGAAAGGGAGAGCGAGGACGACGCGATGGACGAGACCGAAGACGCGCCGCCTCCCCCGGCATCCGAGTCGTCGTCCTCGGAATCGGACGTACTCATAGAAGAAGAGTCCGACTCGGAAGAGCGAGAGGAGGAGGATGAGGAGGGAGCCGACGCGCTCGCGCAGCAGATGGACGCGCTCTCGCTCGTGCCGAGCGCCGTCCGCTTCGGACGCGGCGGGAATCGGGGCGGGTTCAAGAGCCGCGGCCGCGCTGCCGAGCGAGGAGGGGGAGGAAGGGGAGGACGTGGCTCTCGGCACGCGCGAAGGAGCAGCCGCGGGTCGCAGGTCAAAGCCAGGGCGGACCGGGGGTTGCAGGTCGACGCGCCTGTGGGCAGCATGGGCGTCGGCGGCTTCGTGGACGGCAAAGCGGGGCAGCCGCAGGGTACGCGCGGACGGGGACAGCCTAGAGGGCGCCCCGGTATCATCCGCGTGTCGGGGACGAGAGGCGCTCGTGGGCACGGGCGCGGCGTATAGGTCCTCCCTGGCCATTTGGGAAATCAATGTATGTACAGTATATTGTACACTAGCTATAGTCCATTGCTGTCGAGCCCCGTAGCGATCTGGAACAGAGCACAGATGCAGCGTCTACGTGTGTTGTACATGGTGAAAGATGAGCGCTGAGCACGCGTTTGTTCGCGTCGCGTCGAGCATACTGTACCGACATGTATGGTAGAAACCGCTCAGTCACATGACATATACGATGTCGGAGACTCCTGTCTTTGTTACGCGTTACACATTGTCCTTTAGAAACTGGGGCCACGACTGCTAGCGCGATGCAAGCCACATTTTCGGCCACCCATGGGCAATATAAAACATGTTCCCCTCAGCTGTCTGGTTCGATGTTACAGATCTACGAGTGGCGCATTGATGGCACATCAGCCCTCCCTTGGACCAGCGGCAGCGCTGATCGCTCGTGTCGACTATCTCGCTAGGCTTCTTCGGCACTTACCCCACTCTCTCCCTCTGAATCCGAGTCCCTCCAATTACAGTTTCTACATAGATCATGAACTCGTCAATGATGCTGACTATGGTCTCTGGTACGCATTCAATCGGAACCTCGAGACGCAGTTCCGTACCCACACACTCCCACCCGGTGGTTCTGTTACTTTCCTTGAACGCGGGAGCTGCTACGACTCACTTATCAAGATGTTCAAGATTGTACTGCGCGAGCTCCCATCGGAGAGGAAGTTCATTCAAGATGTGTGGCTGGAGCGGCTGATCCGAGACGCAAAAGCTGCCGGGGCTACCATTCCGAGCAAAAAGTGTGTTATTTCGTTCTCTTGCCCTGTTTACATCGCTAATGCAACCAAAAGACGTCAGCGGGAAGCCGACACGGCGGATCTGCAATCAAGCTGCCCTGTCCCTGCTGCGAAGATTTCCCGCACGATCTCTACTATAGCTTCCAGCTCAGACTCCATGCCCGTGCAATCTACAGTTCTGCTACCTCAGCGTGCCTGTTCTCCCCACGGAGCTCCAAGTGATGCTTCGCCACCACCTCAAACAAGGTTCTCTTCAAAACAGTCATCGCTCCTTGACTTTGGTGTGGGAAGAAAGCTGACGACGTCGGCTGAGATAGCTGAGAAAAAGCGTCGAGAGGCAGAGCTTGATGCCAGCATGTCTCAAGCTGCAGTGCAATTCAAGGCAGAGGTGACTGCGATATCTCTGAAGAAGCGACGTGTTCAGACAGCTGCTCGTGTTGCTGCGTTCCGCGAGCGGAAGAAGATGAAGACTGGTTCCAATGAGCTGGAAATTGAGGAGTGCGAACAAGATCTCGAAAACGCACCATCCGCCACATCACCATCTCCTTTACTCGCAACTCAGAAGCAGCCTGTTGTTTCAAATTCGGTTCAGGCTGTTTTAACAGATGTGGCAGAGCTGTCTAGGCCGGGTTCATCGTGGAAGTCCCATCGCACTGGTGTCCGGAAGGGCACTGTTCAAGCACGTCACACGCGAACCAATTGGTATCATCCCTTTCTCTGGGCTGACATTGATCGGGTTGCACATGAAGTCGACTTTTCTGCCACTCGAATTGCACGCTCTCTCCAGAAATCGAAGCCACAGATCTTTGGGAGGCTACGAAAAAGTACTGTGCAGAAGTGGCTCTCTGACGACAGAAAGTCATGGTCACCCGCAACGTTGGAGAATGTTGCACGTCGTCATGCTCTCGCAGGAACCGGACGTGTTGGAATCCTGACGTCTTATCCAGACATCGTCAAAAAAGCCACTCAGGCACTTGAGGAGACACGCGAGACAGGCATTCAGGTCAACCGTATGATTGCCCGCTCGCTCCTCATTGCTGAGATACAAATCTTGGCACCCGATCTGCTGCAGTCCTTCAAGGTCTCGGAGTCATACATATCTGCATTCTTGTCTAGCCAGCTGAACTGGTCGAAACGGAAGATAACTCAAGCGGCTGCCAAAGTTCCCTCTGATGCACCTGATCTATGTGGCCAGACACTGTATCGCATCGTTCACGCTATGTTCTGGGAGCAAATTCCCGTCGAGCTTGTCATTGGGATGGATCAGATCGGTGTTCTTACTATGCCCACTTCTGACACAACCTACGCTGAGAAGGGATCACGTCAAGTTATTGGGACCGCGAAGAATGAGAAGCGTGCCTACACCTTGCTCGTAGCGAGCACTCCGACAGGTCATCTGCTACCGTTCCAGCAGGTGTGGGCTGGGAAAGGCAGGAGGTCACTGCCGGTAGAGACACCGGAGAATGCAACTGATTTCCAGAAGGCACGCGAATACGGATTTCACATTACAGTGGCTGCAAGCGAGAAGAACCCTACAAGTCACTATAGCACCTTGAAAACTATGAAAGAGGTTCGTACCGTACATACTTCGGTAACTCGGCAGCAAATGACGCATTTGTACAGTGGGTCAAGGAGATTCTTGCACCCTACATCCAGAATGTTATCGAAGTACAGCAACTTCCGGCTCATCAAAAAGCTATCTTATTCATCGACTGTTATCCTGTCCATACATCCGAAGAGTTTCGACAGTTCTTAGCAACAGAATTCCCAAACATTGTTCTCATTTATGTTCCTGCGAACTGTACGTTGCTCCTTCTACTTACACGTCAGATCGACTACATCTGATGAATGCTCTAGGTACCGGTGTCATGCAGCCCGCTGACTTAGGTCAAAATCGTCCAATCAAGCATTTCCTCCGCCAGGATTACCTGTCGTACATGGTTCGCGAGCATCGTGCTCAGATCAAAGAAGGACGGAAGGCCGGCGATGTCAAGTTCATGACCTCAATGCCTGCACTTCGTACCATCGCTGTTGGGGCTACCGTTCGGGCTTATGAGTTCATGCAAGGCCCCTCCGGGCGCGATATCATTCGACGGGTATGTACATATCTCGGGTTTACTACTTCTTCTAACCTCGTGTTAGTCTTGGGAGAAAGCCGAAGCATATGGGCTCAATCTGGGCGCAGAAACCTTGAAGAGCCGAAAGGCTATCGACCAATGTCGGGAGTTCCTGCGCGCACACCCAGAACTAAGGCAGGAGATCGAGGAGAAGACAGGAAATATCTTCGCGACAGAAGAGGGCATCATTGAAGATGAGCACGACATCCCTGACCAAGATGATACAGACGTACCGCTTTCCGCCATTGTTCGACAAGAGCTGGGGATCGAAATAGCAAACCCATCCATTCCGGATGTGTTTTGCGTGCAGGATTCAGAGCACTCAGTGACTGTGGATGAACACGGGCTGTTGCATGCAAAGGGTCAGGAGGAGGACATTTGGTCGTACCGTGATGATGGGAAGACATGGGAGGAAGCAATGGAGATGGCAGAAGACTCCGATGAGGCGAACGGGAATGAAGTTGAGGTTGAAGCTGATGTATAGCCCATAGGTTGCGTTGGTAGTTTGAAGACCACAATAAATGCAGTGAAGCATGCAGGAGAGAGTTCGGCGACTCCACTGTCATCCCTCCTGCAGTAGTCCTCTGTCCACGAGGAGGAAGAGGGGAAAACATGACAGTAACGTTGATGTGGCAGGACGTAGGGACTAACCCCGCCATTACGCGTTACACGGTCTCAGACTAGAAACTCAAGCGATCAATGTTACATGTTACAGTTTCTACCATACATGTCGGTACAGTAAGTATCGAGAGGCGGCTCGTAGCCACGAGTTCGAAGCGAGCGGTAATCGAGTTCGGAACGTGGGGTTGATAGCGCGCAGATGCGCGCCGGATCCGACTCCCCTGTTTTTCTCGATCTCTGCTCAATAGCATGCACAACAACATCGATACAAAACTCCACTATACATACTCTACTATGTACTGAATATTGCCCACAACCACTTGATCTCGTAGGATAGACTGTGTGGCGTCTGGATAGTACGATTGTCCAATACAAGCATTCTCACTGTACATACATACATACTCACAAGAGCTCGCAATGTTAACCTTCCCCGCTACAATGATGTAGATGCCTCCGTGGATGTCACGGTACGGGTCAGTTGGAAACTGGCCAAGAATTCGGAAAACACTGCCATACAGGCAACCATATGACAGAGCATTCGACGACATCAAGTTTGCAATTAGAGCACCATGGATCTGGTCGCCTCGAGGTGTCTCCCGCCATGCACTTTTGGCCAGGACGGAGAACACGGAGGCAGCAGCGAAGCGGGATCATCGGGATTGGGGTGACGGCAAACCCACGTTCCGAAGGGGTGAACACAGTCAAAGAACAACTACTGCTGTAAAGTTGCATACATATATCAAGAGTGTAAGTAACCGGCCTTGGTAACTTTGCGAAGAGGTAGCCATGGAATGTGAAGCGGAACATCGGCGCACAAAGTTGCAATAAAATCTGCGAACACGGTTTCACAGCCACTGCTTAGCATCGGGACCGGGTCGGTGACACGGAAGGGCTCGGGAACACGGTTTGGACATCACCACCATCACGCAGTAATCACGTTTTCATCACGTTTTCATCACGTTTTCATCACGTTTTGGCAGGGGTCACAATTCAGTCACATATGGTTACAACGTTCCACGAGATCGCCAAATCCCAACTGTTAACCAACTCCTAAGGTAGACCTCATGCGCGTCCGACCCCATAGCACGCGACACGCGTGACATTAGACGTAATACGAGCAAAAAGTTGATTGTCTCCCGGTCTGAGTAGCTTTCGTTTGAGATGCAACTGGGGTTCTACGATAATATACTGTGCCGAAGTTTGACTGCTGCTTTCGAAACGCAAGAATAAGATCCTCGGGAGGAGAGATGAAAACAAGACCGAGGCATGTGATGGACTGCCCTCAGTGCCAAGCCGTGCAACTTGGAGGTTTCTCCTTTCCGCCGCCGTCACAAAACCGGCTCCGCTGTATTGACTATCTGGCATCCATTGAGCTCTGTGGCACGTCGGGGATCACGACTTGACGTTATGCCCTACAAGAAGGGCCATTTGCGCAAGTGTAACCTCGGCCAGTACGCACAACCTTGTCGCCGCCACGTTGGAGCTAGCACGGAGGAGAACAGAGAAAATTTATGTCGCCAGCAGTATATCCATCTTACCGTACTCAGTATGATGTCTACTAGTTTCCATGCCTCCAGTTACCCAACTGTCTTGCAGCGGCAGCGCGCCTCAATGAGGTTCAGGGATTGGTCACACTGTGTCACAGTCATGCCTCACACTCTCGTGCACCTTCTCTCCTTTCGCAGTTCGCACTCTCATCAGTAATTGTCGACGGTCCTAGCTATGTGCAGGAGACATCTATAAAATGCCGGTAACACTTTCGGTGAGAGCTAGTCTGATTGAGAGTTATTTGAATTTTTGCACCTATTACGTCTAATGTCACGCGTGTCGCGTGCTATGGGGTCGGACGCGCATGAGGTCTACCTTACCTCCGCAAGCTCCGGGCTGGCACCTGAGATTCTTGATCGGGCATCTGACCAATGTCATCGGGTGTTGTAGAGCAGGTTGTCGGTCGAGTATCGCCTGTCTTTCGAGATGCCGGGTGACGGCCACTCCTCGACTATCATCTCGTCCAGAGGATCTTTCGCCGTCGGGGATGAGATTGGCTGACGGCTCTCCAGATCGGTAGATCGTGTGGCGCATTCTTTGCAGATGTTCGCTAACGGAAGGAAACGGAGGTTCAGACGCGAAGACACTGTAGAAAGTTGTTGGCAGAGACGAACCTCCTGGCGAACGCCGCGCCACCATTGCCATCGTCGTCGTCATCAAGCCCCAGACCGTTCTACGGACGGCGTGAGCGAACCAACGCCTTGCTTCTCAGTTTTCCAGGAAGATCGCTTACAGATGCATGCTGAGCGTGCCGGACGCGACGCTCATGATCAGGCTACCGATTGACTTGAGCCGGCGGGTGTTGCACGTGTATTGTGTCTGGATGACAGCCTGCGGGGTGCGTACGTCCGGCGAGGACGTATCGTTCGCGGTGTAGTTCACGTAGCCGAGCGCCTTGCCGTGCTTGATCGCCGCCGCCGCCCATTGATTCGTGCCCTTGAACGGGTCGAACGACGCTTTCAATGTGACGTACTTTAGTGACCAAGCGTCAGCGTAGATTAGGCGCGAGCGACCGTGGGAAGGAGCGTTGTACAGCTGGCAAGGGAGCGCGCGACTCGTCTTTTGTCCTTGATTTTTACCTCAGAAATATACTACGTTGCCCACCTCGTATCTTCGCTAGCAGTAGCCGAAGACGGACGAGTACGGGCATTACAGAGCTCTACGCTCCTGCGACTTGCACTGAAGAGGCTGCGGACGCTATCCGCTGCGACGACCCGTTTAGCACGACTGAGGAATCCTCCGATTCCTGGTCGGACAACGGACGACCGAGTATCCGCCCGGTCGTCTAAGTCATTCCATTATCTGGAGAGCTCGCAGGTTGTACACCGCGCCACCGCCTTAACGTATAGTGAAGACGTTTTACAGTGGTGGACACTGGGAGGACGGTGTCCCCAACCTGGCCGGCTCTAACTCCAACGCCGTTGCGGAACCCTCAGCGGGCGACGACGACGTCGAAGTTGAGTACGACTCTATATTCTCCAACACTACGTTCCACACTCCCGGCCCTTCGGTCTCATTGAAAAACCCGAACACTCGAACCCCTTCACCCCTGTTCCAAGTGCACCCTAGCTACCTCAATCCCTTTAGGGCAGTAAGAACTATGGCTACCCAGACGGGAGAAGAGGAGTCTCCCGCTGTCCGGGTTAGAAAGCTATACGACTCGCTGGCAGCTATCGACCCGTCCCTGAACCACGCGTCAGTCGCCGACAAAGTGCGCGGCCTCACCTTGCACTGGGTTACCGAGGACGACGTGGTATATACGGGAGTACGCTACCGGAGGAAGTCCCCGTGGGCGAACTCTCAAATAGGAAACCCAGAGACGCATCCTCAGCTGTTCGAAATAGACACTTCCAGCAAGAAATTCCGCCTGAAGCCGACTCTCCTAGAGACGATCACGCGAGTAGTTCCGATACTAGACGTAACACTCAACGATATGTACGCCGCGTTACCTCACCGACAGGGCTCCGCTCCGTTCCAGGTAGACCGCGGCGACCGCCTAGTGAAGAGTCTCCGTGAAGGAGCGGATTTCATCGATCAGCTTACGACGAACTTTGGCATCCTCAAGGATCGCTTGTCGGCCGGCCTGGCTGTCGCCAAGAAACTGGTCGAGGAGTCCGAAATGAAGGTACCCCCGATGCCGAGCAGTCCACAACTCACGACGGATTCCTGGCGCGAGACATTGACGGGGCCAAACGAGGCTATGGATGCCGGAATCCTGGCTCAAGGGTACATGCTGAGAAGCAGCGTGTCGGCGCAACTGGAGCACCAAGGTAAGCGCGCGGTCAAGGAATGGGCGGCTAACGCCTCCGGCGCTCCCGCCCAGGCGTGGCCAAATCTACAAGCGAAATACCTCGCTTCAGAATCCCTGAGAGACGTAGCCCTACGCGCGCAAGACCTCCATAGAGAAGGCGCATATCAATGGGACTCGAGCAGCCACGCATTCATCCCCGCGGTTAATCCGTCCCGTACCAGCCTGGGGCAGGGACGGGATTGGGTTCCCCCGCTCCCATCTAACCAGACTCCCGCGCGTCCTAAGAAAGTGCAATGGGAGGGCCCCGAGGGGAATAACACCCTCGAGGTGCCGCCTGCGCCTAGGGCCAGCCGAATCTACCGCAACGAAGTTCTGGGAGACGGTACGGAAAGCATATCCATGGCTGGTTTAACCAACCAATCTTACAGAACGGCCGGGACCCCGGGATTAAGCGCCTCCTTCCCTGCCGGACCGGCAGCTCTTCCCTCCGCCGAGCAGCTGAGCAAGGGAAGGAGAGAGATCTCCGAACCTGTACGACACGGCGGCTTGACATCCGCGGCGTGGGGTTCGAGCGTCCCACCGGACGCGAGAACCGCGTCTCAAGAGCGGATGTATACGGAGGCGCGAAGCGTGGGCAATCCTCATCGACAGTTCTTCGGCATGGGAATTGAAAGCCAGGTACCGTTCGCCCAAGACGGAGGAAATCTGGGGGCTCAGGTCCCGGGCTATTTTCCGCGTTCTTCGTTGTCGGTCCGCAACCGACACGTTCCGCGAGAGGAAGTCGGACAAGGGCCGACTCAGGAAACCGAAGGGGGGTTACGAGCGTCGGCGTTCCCGTACGCGAGCTACGCCAACATGGCTTGGGGGGCCCAATCTGACGAGAAAGCGAGGGGCCTAGAAGGAAGGAATGAGCCGACGCGAGGGGAAGAGGAAAGTGTATTCGACGGATCTAGTGATAGCGGAACCCCGTTCTACCGACGGGGCGAGCCAGGAGATCCAGACGACCCTGACGATCCCCCTCCAGATGGGGGACGAGGCCCCTGGTTTCCTAGAGGAAGAGGCCGGGGAATAGGGGGTCCTCCTCGCCGACCGCCAGGAACGCCGAGAGGAAGCGGCGGAGGCGGCGGTGGAGGAAACGGGCCGGATGGATACAGCACCGAAGGCGAGGGAACATGGCCCCTGAGACCCGAGAAGGACCCTTTAGTTCCGAAAATCAAGAATGAGCTAAAGCCTGAGGATCTGCCGGAATGGGATGGAAGCCACGAGTCGGCGCTAGATTACTTCGCGGCTATCCAGGAATGCGCCGCAATAGGAGGACTGATCCCGGGTCAGATTGGCCAGTATATGTGGCGAAAGTTCACCGGCGAAATTAGGGAATGGTTCCTCATCCTTCCGGCGAATTTCAAAACATACATGAGGGAGCACTACACCCAAGCCCTATGGATGATCATGAATTACTATCTAGGCCCGGAATGGGTAACGGAACGAGAAGCCGAGTTCAGAGACCAAAGGTTTCGACAACCGAAATTCCACGATGAATCCCCCTCCCGCTTCCTGAATAGACGAATCCGTCTGTGCCGAACCCTCATGTTAGGAGACTTCGGTGGACCTTTGGAGGTTGAGATAGTCATGCGGAATGCCCCTCGCCAATGGCCTATCATTCTGCACTTGGGATCAGTATCGGATACCCCTACCTTGCAGATGCGCGTCCGCACCTTCTCCAAGATTCTGGTGAGCGCACAGACGACGAGCGCCCCTTCGCAAAGAGACATTGACCGAATGGTCGCGGAGGCGCTGAGGACGAACGTGCGCCGGATCTCCTCGTATAACCCGGCCCAAACTCGCCGGTCTTCCATGACGCCTGCCAACGCGTATCTCAACGAGTCGGCTGACACCGAGCCTGAGGGAGACAGCCCGCCGAGCAAGGACGACGACGGCGAGAATCAGGAGGCAGGGAACTGGGACGACGAAATCTGGGCGCAGGCATTCGCGACCCTGTCTAAGAACCAGAAGCCGCCTCCAGGGGGCTACCCCTACCCCGCGCGGAATGAAGTGAAGACCCCTTCCAACATGAGACAACTGCCGGGACCCTGTCGCTTGTGCGGAGCTTGGCACTGGGACAAGGAGTGCCCGCATTACGCCGTTCATCAGAAGCGTAAAGCGGTCAACCTGGCCGACGCTCGAACGGAACGGTCGGGGGAGGATGCAAAATTGTATGATACGCTGTGGGATATGAGTGTCAATGCATACATGGTTTCCCTGTATGAATCGCGAAGCGAAAAGGGAAAGGATCCGAAGGCCGCTTTGAGACTCGAGTCGGAATGGAAAGAGAGCTCTCGAGTCACTGCGGAAAACGAACGTGCGGCGTTCGAGGACGACGATTCTACGGACAAAGGGGTGAGCTCTGTACAGAGCAAAGTTCCCGAGTCCGAAACGAGGGTGCGGCTTGCTAAGTCCAAGCGCAAACTCCCGGGGCAGTCAGCCAAGGACGTATCGGTCCTCTCAGTGAAGGGCCGGATAGGGTCTTCGCCCAGCTGCGAGATCGATTTGCGGCTGGACTCATGCGCGGATATTACGTTGTTGTCCCAGGAGGCGTACGAAGCGATGCACGAGCGCCCTGCGATTAAGAAAGGTTTACACCTCCGCCTTTGGCAACTCACGGACAGGAGCACCGAAATTTCAGGGTACGTGAAATTGCCCTTGGAGATCCAGACAGAGGAAGGAACCATACTGTGTATGGAGGCGGAGGCGTACGTGGTGCCAGGGATGACGGTGCCTATCCTATTAGGAGAAGACTTCCAAGAAGCGTACGAGGTCAACGTGACGCGCAAAGTCAATGAAGGTACACGAGTGTACTTCGGCAGATTCCAGGAGGCGGTAAAAGCGGTCCCGGTGGAAAGGACGTCGGACCTGGATAAGTTGCGGAGGAGCGCACACGGTCTGCAAACGTTCGTGCGTAAGAAAATGTCTGCACGGGAGAAAGCTAGGAGAGAGAGGTTGAAAAGGCGAGCCCGAGATGGACAGCGATGGCTACGCCTGGAGAATGACGTACGAATCAACCCCCATTCCGTGGCCAACGCGCGAGTTGAAGGATGGTTCGGCGAGGACGACGATAAGCCTTGGCTAGTTGAGAAAGCGATCCTGGATACCAAGAAGGACCCCTTGGTAATTCCCAATGTTTTCATCACGGGGAGCCTCCCGCTAGTGCCTCTCACTAATCCTACGGATCGTCCGCGGCTGCTCAAGAAAGGAGCCGTCATCGCGAAGCTTCTAGACCCTGAGAAATACTTGGACTCGCCGAAGACGGAGACGCAGAGGGCGAGGATGGCGGAAGGAGCGGACAAGGCGGCGAAAGCCGTACGAGTAGCCATGGACGCGCAGCAGGCCTCGTCGCAAACGGATCCTACCCCTACGAGTACATCGTCTGCGGGAGAGACAGAGGAAGACTCGCATTGGGGGCCTAAAACCGCGGAGATGCCGGATCCGACTGTATACCCCTCCTCCAAAATGAGGGAGACCCTGGACGTGGGAGATCTTCCCGATCACTTGAAGGAGGAAGCATGGGAGATGCTGGAGCGACATAAGTTAGCATTCGGCTTCGACGATAGGCTCGGACACCACCCAACTAGAGCGACCATCCGACTCAAGGATGGGCAAAATCCGATCGCGGTACCTATGTACGGCACTTCTCCGCAAAAAAAGGCAGTGATTGAGGAGCAAGTGGCGAAGTGGTTCGAGCAAGGAGTCATCGAGAAGTCGGCGAGCCCCTGGAGTGCACCCGTCGTAATAGCTTACCGGAATGGTAAGGCTCGCTTTTGCGTGGACTATCGCAAATTGAACGCGGCGACGATCCGCGACGAATACCCTATACCGCGACAGAACGAAATACTGCAAGCGCTATCCGGCTCGCAGGTGCTTTCATCGTTGGATGCGTTATCGGGTTTTACGCAGCTGGAAATGGCGCCAGAGGACGTCGAGAAGACCGCATTCCGGACGCATCTAGGGCTTTATCAATTCAAACGCATGCCCTTCGGACTGACCAATGGACCGGCGATCTTCCAACGAACGATGCAAGAAATCCTCGCTCCCTACTTGTGGTTATTCTGCCTCGTCTATATTGACGACATAGTTGTGTACTCGAGGACGTTCGAGGACCACATTCGTCATCTAGATCAAGTGCTGGCGGCCATCGAACGGTCGGGACTCACTCTGTCACCCAAGAAGTGCCACTTGTTTTATGGTTCAATTCTGCTTCTGGGTCAGAAGGTGTCGCGATTGGGACTGTCCACGCACCAAGAGAAGGTACGAGCCGTTGCCGAGCTGAAGCGCCCGACGAAAGTTTCGGAACTCCAAACGTTCCTGGGAATGGTGGTATACTTCTCCCAGTTTATTCCCTACTACGCTAGCATAGCGTCGCCTCTATTTCAGCTGTTGAGAAAAGACCACAAATGGTTGTGGGGCGCGACGGAGGAGTACGCGTGGAATGCGGCCAAAGAGGCGCTTCAGCAAGCGCCAATCCTAGGGCATCCGATCCAGGGGAAGCCGTACCGCCTTTACACGGACGCTTCGGACGAGGCGTTGGGCTGCGCCCTGCAGCAGATCCAACCGATCTCGGCGCGCAACCTTCGAGGAACGAAAGTCTACGAGCGCCTGTCCAAGGCATGGGACCAAAGTGATCCCGTTCCGAAACTCACCGTGTCCCTCACCGACAAGATCGAGGACACCCCGAAGTGCGACACATGGGGCCCCTCGTTAGACGAGACCGTGGTGCACGTCGAACGCGTCATCGCGTACTGGTCGAGAACGTTCAAGGACGCAGAACGACGATATTCTACCACCGAGAGAGAGGCCTTGGGCGCCAAGGAAGGGTTAGTAAAGTTTCAACCGTTCATAGAGGGAGAGAAAATCATACTGGTTACTGACCACGCGGCGCTGCAATGGGCGCGCACGTACAAGAACACCAATCGACGCCTCGCGGCGTGGGGGGCAGTATACTCTTCCTTCGCCCCGGGCCTGGAGATTGTACACCGAGCGGGCCGAGTGCACTCCAACGTCGATCCCTTGTCTCGTATCCCGAGAGCTCCGCCCGAGCACGTTTCGCCCGCACAAGACGATCTACCCACGATCGTGACCGAGCGCGCAGCAGAGAAACTACCCGCAAATCCCTTCGCCGATAAAGGCCAAGCCGCACGCGCCACGGCATTACTAGCTCCGCGAGAAGAATACGGCTGGTGGACGGAACCGGACCTCATCGAGGAGACACTAGAGCCGGGAGTTTTTTCGGTCGATCACGAGTCGCAAGAGGGTCGCCCCATTCGTGATCGGCGCCTGCCAGTCCGATTCAGGGACGGAGACACCGAACCCGCGAAGCGCCCGAATGGCCCGCGCAAACCCCTGCCGGTGACTGGTCAGTCGGACGGTAGGAGAGCCGAGGACCTTCCCGGTCGCGACTCACCCACCGACACGATCACGGCTCGCGATGGGGGGGCGGAAGACGGTAGATACGCGAAGCGCAAGGAATGGGAGGCGGACCACCCCCCGCCAGGCCATATCTTCGTACACATGTCGCCGGAGGTGCTAGACGCATGGGTAGGAGGGTACACACAGGACATCGCTTTCCGCAATCGCTGGCGGGAAGAGGGGGCATCCTCGCAGTCATGGCACCCCGGGAAACGGTTCTTTAAGGACCAGCGAGGCTTGCTTTATTTTCGAGACGCCGACTTCATACCGCGACTGTGCGTCCCTAGAAGCCTGATAGCCCAAGTGTTGAAAAGAGCACACGAATCCCCCATGGAAACCGCACATGGAGGACCAGAGAAGCTGTGGCTGGCTCTGAAGGAGCAGTACTACTGGCCGCGAATGAAGAGGGATATCAAGAGGTTTTGCAACTCCTGTGACGTGTGTCAGAAAACGAAGTCGAGGAACTTCAAGCGATACGGTTTCCTACATCTGAACGAAATCCCCGAAGCCCCGTTTCAATCCGTATCCTTAGACTTGATCGGGCCGCTCCCAGAATCCGAAGGACACACGGCGATACTAGTCGTGGTAGATCGGCTGACGAAGCACGCCTCATTTATACCAGTGGACCACGATATGGATGCAGGAGGATTCGGACGGACCTTCGTGAGGAGCATCATATGCCGTTTTGGAATCCCCGAGACGATCTACGCCGATCGGGATGGGCGATGGCTGTCCGACTTCTGGATGGCTGTAGCGGCGGCATTGGATGTAGCTATGGTCCTGTCGTCGTCGCGGCATCCGCAACACGACGGCCAGACAGAGATTGTCAATAGACGACTGGAAACTATGGTTCGGGCGTACGTAGCCGAAGACCTAGGATCATGGGCGAAATGGTTACCGATGTTAGAGTTTGCTTACAACTCGACCTCGCATAGCACCACCAAGGAAACTCCGTACTTTCTGCTGTACGGGTTCCAGCCAAGAAGTCCTTCGCGCCTACCTAACGAGAGGTCGGAAAAGAACGTCGGAAAACGGTCTGGCGGCTCCGAATCCAAAGAGTTCGTGGCAAATCTGCAGATGCATCGCGATGCGGCGAGAAGAGCGATAGCTGCCGCGCAAGTGAGACAAGCTGCCGCGTACGACGCAGGGAGAAGGGACCTTTCCTTTCAAGTGGGCGATCCGGTGCTAGTGAACCCCCACTCGTTACAGTGGATGGAATCTAAGGGCAACGGGGTCAAACTAAGACAACGATGGATAGGGCCTTTCGAAGTTATGGAGAGGGTGGGGGACTACACGTACCGACTGCGCATGCCAGAGAATTACCCCGCAACCCCGATCTTCAACATCGAACACTTGAGACCATACTACCCCTCGCCGAAAGAGTTCGGAACACGATCGATCCTACCGGAAACGAGACTCCACCCCCAAGAAGGAGAAGAAGTGGAGGTCGAACAGATCCTGGCGCACAAATGGGACTCCCGATCGAGGAGATGGAAGTTCCTGGTGCGCTGGACAGGGTACTCTCCCTTGGAGGATGAATGGAAGACGGCCGTGCAGCTGAGGAACGCTCCACGCGTCTTGGAAGAGTACAAGGAATTACACCGCCTTTGAGAAGGGAAGGCCAGTACGCCCTTCTCCTAACGCTCGTTTACAGAAGTCCGGCAAAGACTACATTCACACTCCTTACTGCTAACGAACTGCTACGAAGAGCTCCTCAAGAACACATGAATTCACGAAATGCGCGATGGAAAGGATAACTAAACGGGGAACGAGGGAGAAATCAGGGCGGAGTCAGAACATAAGACGAGCCCGACGCGCGCGCATCCTCCAGTTCTCTCTGCGCCGCAGCCAGGTCATATCGCAAGCGCCACAAGGCCCCGGGATAGGTGTCGCCTCTCGGATTTTTGACCATCCGCGCCGCAGAGCCCCTATGGCGAATGGAGGTCATTTCTCCAGAAGGACGGATCGACAAAGAAACCTACCAATGACGGTAAACGCCGGTCTGCAGTCCCCGAAAGACGACGTAGCATTTGTCTCCCGTTCTGCCGTTCTCGGGAGGACGGACCACCGGAGGGACAAAAAGGACCGCGGATCTGCGGGAAGCTCAGTGCGTTCCGGAATATCTATGCGAAGGACGTACGGGGACGGGCCTTCGGCTGAAGGGTACTCAGAATCACGAGAGGCGGCCGGAGGAACTGGACGACCGATCGTCGAAGTACGGGTTTCTTCATCGGAACGAGCGACTGCGACGACGCCTCGCCGAGTTGGCGACCGTATCTCCAAGTTCAGGGACACACGTCCAACAGGCGTCGAGGGCTCCCGGCTGATCCGATCGGAGCTAGGGGTTACGGGAAGGGCCGATGGGGTCGAGCTGCGCGGTCCAGCGCGGATAATGACTGAACCCTCCGAGCTCAACTCGAGGTCAGGGTTGGCGATCCCCTCCAACTCCAGCCGTATCGAAGTTAAATCGAATCCGGGCTCGCCAGACGCCGCTGGGGAAGGAGGCTGAGGAGAGGATCCGAGGTCAGACTTCATGACGAACGAAGTTGGTCGAGAGGAACAAACGAGGATTTATTATATGAGCATCAAAATAATCACACTCCGAAACTCCGACTCGCCAACGACCGTTCGCCTCCACGGGCCGCTCTCGTCACTTAAAGGTATGACCGGGAACGAGGAACACGGCTAAACCCCTGGAGCCAACTCGAACGTCTCCCGAAGACGAGCATGCTAGGACGTTACGGAGGAGAACGACGCTATGTAGCCCTCCCGGGCAATAGTGGGCGACTCCTCGTATCCTGCCAGGGCGAATTGGGTCTCGAGCGGTGGAAGACCACGGCGACGGCCAAGTCCCTCTGGACCAAGGGCGAGGACCCCTTCAAGGAGAGCGACCCTCCGGTTTCGATCCATCCCTGGCCGGAGGAATGGCTATCGGTGATGGCTTGGTACCGTCCGAATTCCCCTTGGAGAGGCATGATTCCTGTGAACACCGACTGGCTGAACTGGCTCACCACCTGGTTATACGACTTCGGCAATGTTGCTATCGGGCCGAGGATTCGGGAACACGGCGAGGACGCTCTACAAGTCTCGACGGAAGTGGAAAAAGCGAGCAGACGGGTTTACACCGCTTTGCGGAAGGCGGTTAGGATCGTGTTGGACGAATTTTATGGAGACGAGAAACCCGACCTGAGTGAGCACTGTCTTCGCAGCCTGAAGTCGCGAGACGCGGAAAAGTGGTTGGAGAATCTGGACCACAACCGAAGAGTCAGTCTGGACCTCCTAGGCTTGCTATGGTTCGCAGGGGACGACGCACGAGAACGGATCCGAGACACCCTCGAGCCAGAAGACTGGACTACCCTGGAGAACGATTGCGGATTGGGGGACCTGACTACGCGATTCCAAGGCATAATCTTCGACCTTTATGGGTTAGAAGATGAAGAGCTGGAGACGTTCGAGTTCTATACGAACAGCCCGGCCGATACCTTCTACGTGTGGGACCCGATTCTGGTCATGAACCCTTCTAAGAAAGAATTCGACCCTCTGAAGAGCGGTAGGCCTCTGGAAACGTATGGCTCCAACGAGGACGACGGACTCACAACGACGACTCGGATTCGACGCCTGACGCGTCCGTGGAAGCCGAACATTGCCTTGAAGCTAAACCGCGGAAGATACCTAGCCGCGGAGAAGGCTTTCGCGGGGAATGCGGGCCTGGAGGTTGAGGAATGGTTCTTGCGGCGCAATGCGTCAGCTCTCGAGACTGGGGGGCCAGGTGAACGAAGCCTTCTAGCCCGTACAGCCTGGTTGGAAATGCCCGACGTGACGGAACTCTTCCTGCGCATGATAGCAATGCAGAAGCCTGGCCAAACGATCTTCCAGTGTATCAGCCTAGCAGTTTTACAGGGCCTGCCCATTCGGTTGGCGTACCTAGAAGAGGACCTGGTTCTGTGGAGAAAACTTCGCGGTATCGAGCCGGAAGCCGATACGCCTGGGTCAGTGATCAATCCATACGCGGCGTTAGCTGCTCCGACTGCCGAGAGCGAATCAATCTCCCGCGTCTTCAAGCACTGGGAAGAGGCTACGAGTCTCTTCTTGGCTACCAGACCGCACTTGTTTGCGGCCGTGGCCGGCGAGGGAGGGATCTACACAAGCATCGCCATAAAATATTCGGGGACGGAAATGACCAACGCACTCACCGGGGGCCCTTCGGACGCTCTACTGTGCTATCGCTCTCGGGGAACCATCAACAGGAAGGGCAGAGTGCACGAAGCCCTAACCGCGGAAGAGAAAGACGTGCTGCTAGGGAGAGTGCGAGCTCCTGACGGCACGGCGCGCTATTTCTTCCCCTCTAACGAGGTACTGGAGGAAACACACCGGTGGTGGGGCGTCTGGAGGAGACAGAACCAAGAGTGGCTTCAGGATTTAGTGGACGGGTACCGCGTAGGATCGGGGCGCCCTAAAACTCAAGCTCATTGGAGAAAGGAACTACGCGTAGAGGGTCGCAACAAGAAGACGAAACTCAGCGAAGTACACGACCGATTCATGGCGGCGACAACCGAATTCTCGCGGACCCTCGCACAAATCACGGGCCCTGGATGGGTTGGTCGTAGGTTGGATCAGTTGGCCTTGTTCTCGTGGGATGAGGACGAAAGTGAAGCGGACACCCGCGCCTAGGGGGGCTCTGTGACGTACTTTAGTGACCAAGCGTCAGCGTAGATTAGGCGCGAGCGACCGTGGGAAGGAGTGTTGTACAGCTGGCAAGGGAGCGCGCGACTCGTCTTTTGTCCTTGATTTTTACCTCAGAAATATACTACGTTGCCCACCTCGTATCTTCGCTAGCAGTAGCCGAAGACGGACGAGTACGGGCATTACAGAGCTCTACGCTCCTGCGACTTGCACTGAAGAGGCTGCGGACGCTATCCGCTGCGACGACCCGTTTAGCACGACTGAGGAATCCTCCGATTCCTGGTCGGACAACGGACGACCGAGTATCCGCCCGGTCGTCTAAGTCATTCCATTATCTGGAGAGCTCGCAGGTTGTACACCGCGCCACCGCCTTAACGTATAGTGAAGACGTTTTACATTCAACGACGTGAAGTTGGTGAAGATCTATAAAGTCGTTCATCCGTTCAGTTGTCTGTCGCTTCGGTGGGGGGCTGGCAATGTACGCATACATTGTTCGGCGTCCAGTGCCCGAGGTCGAGACGAACGCCGGCGTAGAACGTCTGCGCGAGGTTGTCGAGCGTGGACCTGATCCAGGTGTAGTTGTCCAGCAGCGAGGAGGGATAGATCTCGAGATCCGTCAGTCCGATCACGTTGTCCCAGGTCATGGTGAGGTCCGCGGGTTGCTGGTCGCACGCCGCGAACTCGGTCGTCTTCGCGTCTGACACGGACGCGTCGCAGTTCGTGGCGTACTGTCTGGTGTAGCGGTACACCTTGTTGCCCTGCCTGAAGGTATACGCCGACTTGTAGATCGCAAGGTACGCGTCGTCTGATGGGAGGGCGTGAGCGGCGCGTCGCGAAAGAATGTATGGATACAATAGCTTACCGCCAGCATCTGCCATGGCCGAAGCGATGGCTCGCGTCATGGAGTTGTTCGAGAACGAGGTCTGGACGGAGTTCCCGATGATATCGTGGTTCGTGTACGTGTATGAGGTTGAGGCCTGGAATCCCTGCTCTGGACAACGGATCGAGCCCTGCGCGCATAAGCACCCGACCCATATATAAACGGTGGCATGGAAAGTGCGTACAGTGATCGTGATGCTACGCTCGGCGGGGAGCGTGTTCGTCTGGATCTCCGACACATCGCAGTTAGAGAGCAGGTTGTTCGAATAGACGAAACTGCCTTGGGTGTCCAAGGACGTGCCGGAGTAAACGTTGAAGATCGAGTACGTGAACGCCGAGTTGTTGGTCCGGAAGGCGTTCCCGAGCTGGAAGTGCGCAGGCTGGCAGCTGTAGTCGCGCGCGTGGAAGCTTGCAGGCCAGGGCAGGTTCTGGGAGACGTTGAAGTCGCGGGAGGAGATTGCGACGACGTCGTAGCCTACCGCGCAACGACGAAGCCCGTTAGGTGGTATACCGACGTGAGGAGGACAGGAATCACCTAAGAGAATGTGGTTGATGATTGCGAAGCCTAAGATCGACCCCAGCCCGAATATGACCAGGAAGCATGTCGCATACGGCCAACGGTAGTTGAATGGGCGCGTCAGAGCGTATTCCTGGCGATGGAATGCTTCTCCGTCAGTATGTAGTACCACTGATACGCAGGGTTAGGCAGGAGGGTGGCGCGTACGAAGCTTAGTGAGCGTACGAAGCTTATTGCGCGTACGAAGCTTATTGAGTCTCTCGAAACCATGGCGCACAGAGTCCTTGGAACCGGTCCCGACACTGGGCATTCTTATATGCGACGTTGCATCGGAGCTAGCTGGGTCACCGATTGAGCCAATGTGCGGCGAGAAGGTGGCCATCCAAGACGAGAAGGGCATATATGCGAAATAAGCGCCGACGCCGGCGTTGCGTTCGCGCCCAACGGCCTTCTTAATAGCGACCTTGAGTGATGCTTGATGAAAAGTCCCGATAGGACGACTACAGTCCGTGAATTCTATGTGATCCAGGACCAGTGAGCCTATATTTCATCTCACAGGGGCTCGTTTCTGCGCGCTGTGCAGACGCATATTCATATATGTTCATCGTATCGATACTATACTTACCGCGCAGTAGTACGGAACCATTTCATGTAGTACGGGGGGCGGGAGAAGGTACCTAAAAGAGTAAACACAGTTCAACGTGTTATCTTGCCGGGCGCTGCGTGCATGCGGTAGGCATGGAAATTATGCCCATGGTATCGCAGAGAGGAGAGATCTCTGTTTTTCGTACATGAACCTTTTAACACAGCCGTGGCCCCACGGTTAACCCAAACACCACCAGAAGCCCCAATCACGTGAGTTTAAAGGTCCAAGTAGCGCGCCCTCAAACGCCCGCCCTCCCGCACCGTGGCGATTAGCTCCTGCTGGATCCTCTTCACGTTCTGCCTCTTCTTCGTCCCGTCCTCGCCGCGCATCTTGTCCAGCACCTCCGCAAACTCACGTCTTACGGCGTCGACCGTGCTCTCCGGCGCCTTGCCCGTCCGGTGGATCGGGCGCAGGCCGTCCTCGAACAGCTGGTAGGCGACGTCGAGCGTGCTGCTCAGCGTGGCGGCGACGACGGGCTGCTCAGCGTGGCGGCGACGACGGGCTGGTCCGCGGCGAAGTCCCAGCAGATCCTGCGAGTGCGAAGAAAACTCATCGTGAGACATTGCCCCGATTAAGTGTCTGGATAAAGAGCATGAGGATCCCGGAGCTTAGGCCTTCCATCGCGCTGTTGTATCCCGCGTGGGTCAGGAGCCAGCCAGTTGCCTGTTCCAGGGAATGAGTCGGAGCCCAGTCGCGGCCAGGATGAAACCGGGTAATATGACCTACCGGGTGCGAAAGGATGTACTGTTGTGGCGACCACTGGGTGAACGCGCCCAGGCCGTACTTCTTAACCTTTTCTGCGACGGAGTCGGGTATGATTGCCATGGGGGAGGCGTGACTGAAGATCTACGCGTTCGCATTGTGAGATTATGGGTGATCAGGGGGGTAAAGGGGACGTAAGGAGGCGCGATACGCACGAACAACACTTTGTTCTCCATGAGCACGTCCAGGACCGCCCAGAGACTGTCTGGCTTGGCCCATGGTCCGAATATCGTGCCGAAGGAGATCTAGATTGGGGACGATCAGAAAGGATCTATGGCACCGAACTACTTGCTTACGTATACGACAGAGGTCGGTCCATGGGTTTGAAGGACGGACTCGAGGAAGTCAACGATGTCCTTAGCCTCCGGAGACAGATCGAACTCGCCGCCGGTGCCAGATCGTGACGGAAGCTGCGGCCCAACGTTGTACACCTTGCGCGGCGGAGAGAAGGACGCCATCCATCGCTCTAGGGCTTCAAACTCCGGATCGCAGACGGGATCCGCCGTCGCATTTCTGGAAGAACCTAAAAGCGACCGTTAGCACAGGATACGCGATGGGCGAGTGAATATATAGACGTACTCGTGGCTGGATAGTGAGATGTGCATCAGGGGCTCATCGAAACCCTCGGGCATCTGCACCGAGGTGAGCGCGCACGATTAACATACTCGCAGCGTAACTTACCTCCTGGGGAAAGTCTTCGTAGTCGTACATTGGAGGGAGACCGGGCATGTGTCGGAGCTCCCCCGGCAGGTTCCTCATCAACTTCATCAACTGAGGATTTCGTTCAGCTCAGGGTGAATAACCGAGATCCTCATCAGCCGCCGCACCTCCGACATGACCTCGCCCATGGTCCGGCCAGTTTGGATGGATATACCCTCCAACACACACCGCGCCGCCGCCCCCGGCATCCGAGTCGTCGTCCTCGGAGCCGGACGTGCTCATAGAAGAAGAGTCCGACTCGGAAGGGCGAGAGGAGGAGGACGCGGAGGGAGCCGACGCGCTCGCGCATCTCGCGCCGTCCGCTTCGGACGCGGCGGGAATCGAGGCGGATTCAAGAGCCGCGGCCGCGCGCGGGCGCGGGCGCGGCGTATAGGTCCTCCCTGGCCATTTGGGAAATCAATGTATGTACATTATATTGTACACTAGCTATAGTCCATTGCTGTCGAGCCCCGTAGCGATCTGGAACAGTGTACAGATGCAGCGTCTACGTGTGTTGTACATGGTGAAAGATGAGCGCTGAGCACGCGTTTGTTCGCGTCGCGTCGAGCATAAGTATCGAGAGGCGGCTCGTAGCCACGAGTTTGGTAATCGGCTTTGGAACGCCGAGGTGTCCAAGGCTGGCACCTGAGATTCTTGATCGGGCATCTGACCAATGTCATCGGGTGTTGTAGAGCAGGTTGTCGGTCGAGTATCGCCTGTCTTTCGAAATGCCGGGTGACGGCCACTCCTCGACTATCATCTCGTCCAGAGGATCTTTCGCCGTCGGGGATAAGATGGGCTGACGGCTCTGCAGATAGGTGGGTCGCTTTAGGTCCATCGTCTGCCCTCGTCGTATGGCGCATTCTTTGCAGATGTTCGCTAACGGAAGAAAACGGAGGTTCAGACGCGAAGACACCGTAGAAAGTTGTTAGCAGAGACGAACCTCCTGGCGAACGCCGCGCCACCGTTGCCATCATCGTCGTCATCAAGCCCCAGACCGTTCTACGTACGGCGTGAGCGAACCAACGCCTTGTTTCTCAGTTTTCCAGGAAGATCGCTTACAGAAACATGCTGAGCGTGCCGGACGCGACGCTCATGATCAGGCTACCGATCGACTTGAGCCGGCGGGTGTTGCACGTGTATTGTGTCTGGATGACGGCCTGCGGGGTGCGTACGTCCGGCGAGGGCGTATCATTCGCGGTGTAGTTTACGTAGCCGAGCGCCTCGCCGTGCATGATCGCCGCCGCCGCCCATTGATTCGTGCCGTCGAAAGGGTCGAACGACGCTTTCAACGACGTGAAGTTGGTGAAGATCTATGAAGCCGTTCGTCTATTCAGTTGACTGTCGCGTGGGGGAGGGCACGCATATGCGTACGTTGTTCGGCGTCCAGTGCCCGAGGTCGATACGCACGCCGGCGTAGAACGTCTGCGCGAGGTTGTCGAGCGTGGACGCGATCCAGGTGTAGTTGTCCAGCAGCGAGGAGGGATATATCTCGAGATCCGTCAGTCCGATCACGTTGTCCCAGGTCGTGGTGAGGTTCGCGGGGTGCTGGTCGCACGCCGTAAAATTGGTCGTCTTCGCGCCGGACACGGACGCGTCGCAGTTTGTGGCGTACTGTCTAGTGTAGCGGTACACCTTGTTGCCCTGCATGAATGTGTATGCAGAGTTGAAGATCGCAAGGTACGCGTCACCTGATGGGAGGGCGTGAGTGGCCCATCGCGAAAGAGTATATAGGTATACGATAGCTTACCACCAGCATCTGCCATGGCCGAGGCGATGGCTCGCGTCATGGAGTTGTTCGAGAACGAGGTCTGGACGGAGTTTCCAATGATATCGTGGTTCGTATACGTGTATGAGGTTGAGGCTTGGAACCCTTGCTCTGGACAACGTATCGCGCCCTGCGCACATGAGCACCCGACGTACACGGAAACGACGTGAACGGTGCGTACAGTGATCGTGATGCTACGCTCGGCGGGGAGCGTGTTCGTCTGGATCTCCGACACATCGCAGTCGGAGAGCAGGTTGTTCGAGTAGACGAAACTGCCCTGGGTGTCCGAGGACGCGCCCGAGTAGACGTTGAATATTGAGTACGTGAACGCCGAGTGGTTGGTGCGAAAGGCGTTCCCGAGCTGGAAGTGCGCGGGCTGGCAGCTGTAGTCGCGCGCGTGGAAGCTTGCAGGCCAGGGCAGGTTCTGGGAGACGTTGAAGTCGCGGGAGGAGATTGCGACGACGTCGTAGCCTGGCGTGAAACGACGAAGCCCGTTAGGTGGTATACCAACGTGAGGATGAGGGGTGGAATCACCTAAGAGAATGTGGTTGATGACCGCGAAGCCTACGAACGACCCCAGCCCGAATACGATCAGGAACCACGTCGCATACGGCCAACGGTGGTTGAAAGGACGCGTCAGAGCGTATTCCTGGCGATGGAATGCTTCTCCATCAGTATGTAGTGCCACCGATACGCAGGGTTAGGCAGGGTGGCGCGTACGAAGCTTATCGAGTCTCTCGATACCATTGCGCACAGAGTCCTTGGAATCGGTCCCGACACTGGCAGTCTTATATGCGACGTTGCGTTGGAGCTAGCAGATGGGTCACCAATTGAGTAAATGGGCGGGTACCAAAGACAAGAGAATGTGGACGTGGGCGTAATGTAGTTTTACGACCTTAGGTTCGGACCGGACCGCCTCAGGGGGGACAAGGCACAGCTACAAGAGGACCGGTGCGAATACCGCCAGAGCTCCGATCCACACAGCCACCAAAATCCCCGAAAAACGCCCGTTTACGGGCGCGAGCTCCGATACCAAAACCCCGAAAACATGGGGGTAGAGGGCAAAATGTTACATCCAGGTCTGCTCCGAAAAGAGACAGATACCAGCGGGGTTTGATCCAAGATCCCTGAAATTGCAGGCCAGCCGTGACAACCATTAGGCTACGAGACACACTGACTGAACATCCATTCAGCAAATCATATTCTGTTTGGCATGTGCTACACACTTGCGCGAATTTGAGTCCCCACTGCCCTCATTTACTCACTATACTTTCCGAGCTCGCCGTCCCCCGAATTGCTTCCACCACCATTCTCTCCACCGACAGGCAGAATCAGGCAGGCTTCAAGTGCTGGGCGCACGTACAAGGATCTTGTCCGCTCCGTCCAGGATGTGCTAATAAAGAAAACGGAAGAATTTATGAGAGCTGTGAAGTCCCGGAACAGGCAAACAATGGGAGAAAGCAATGAGAATGGCGGGAACATGGAAAATCGAGCACGGAGACGGAGACGGGAATGTGAGCATAGTCGGGATCTGGACTCGATTGAGACGACAAGGAGTCCTCTGGTGCACAATTAGGTACACTGAAGTGTATTCAGGCGACGGTGTGCTGTGAAGCGTCTCGGAGAGCTCCGATCCCATTTTTGCCCCGAAAATCGTCAATTCGGGGCCATGTCTGATGTCAAATCCCCGAAATTCGGCCTCTTGGGACCTTCACCGGAACCCCGAAAATGGCCGAAATCGCCTCTTTGAGGGATCGGA